AGGAGGAGGAGGAGGAGGAGGAGGAGGAGAACGACTATGGGGTCCCTGAGCTTGGTTGTTTTCTTGCAGACATTTCATGACCCAACTAGGTGACATCATCAATGCTAGAAGGGAGGGGGGTTTGCAGAGAGGAGGATGGGGAAGGAGGAGGAGAAGGAGGAGGAGGAAGAGGAGGAGGAGGAGGAGGAGGAGGAGGAGGAGGAGGAGAAGGACGATGACGACGACGACAACTGTGGGGTCCCTTATGCTATCTGAGCTCGGTGGACTTCTTGCAGACGTTTCATTAACCAACTAGATAACATCATCAGCGCTGATGATGTTAATTAATTTGGTAATGAAATATCTGCAAGAAAACCACCGAGCTTAGAGAGCACAAAGGTCTCCACCAAAACATGGTTTATCTGAAATATTTCGGTCAACTGAACAGACTCTCTGTAGATGGGTCTTCTACACCTGATGGGGCCTGCAATGGTCAGAATTCCCATTTTCAAGCTGGCTGAGAGCTGAGAGACCCAATCCCAACATCTCTAGAAAGTGCTTAGCTGGAGAAGTAAACATGCCTACATTTGCAAGAAGTTGTGAATGCTCCAACACTGGAAGTTTTTAAGAAGAGACTGGACAGCCATTTGTCTGAAATGGTATAGGGCTCCTGCCTGAGCAGGGGGTTGGACTAGATGACCTCCAAGGTCCCTTCCAACTTAATAATAATAATAATAATAATAATAATAATAATAATAATAATAATAATAATAATAATAATAATAATAATAATAATAATAATAAGTCAGACCACAAGTTAAGACTGCCAAGTATTTCAGCTGAACCGACTTTTAATCAATCATCAAGAAAGGAAAAAAAAATAAATACATCAGGTTCTACCAACCTTCCATATTCTTTGTTAAAATTGACCAAGAACGAGCACAGCTCACTTGACTGGCATCCAGGAAGACCTGTCAAGATGGTAATCACCACCTCAAAAGAGAGAGGAACGTAACGATTATGAAATGATCACAGCTCTTGGAAAAAACAGTTATCGCGATTTAGGCTCAGGACTCAGTATTCTAAATCCGAAGACGCTGCTCCCAGCTGAACCTGTGGAATATCGGTCTCAGGAGACACCAAGTCAAGATCAGCCATGAGACTGATCAAAAACAGTGCTGGGACAGTCAGATGAAGAGGAGGTCCTAAACCTGCACACAGGTAGAGAGGACTGCAGAGTGGAGATGTTCTATGATGCTCTTTGCCGAGCAAGAAAATAACTCTCTCAATCTACAGCCTGATTTAAGAGGCAGCTCCGAGTTATAATATTCCTTTTGCTGGAAGCAACATCTGTGTGATGCTCCTGTGAATCCTGTTTGCCGAAGAAACCTTGTACTTCTGACCTCTGGACTGGCTGATAATCCTGATCCGGCTCTCGGAATCTTGGACTGATTTTGGACTATTCTTCGGCGTGTTCCTATTTAAAAGCCAATCATTCTGACAAGCATTGGAAACTCGGGTTTGCATTCTTGATGTAGGAGATGACCAGGCTGAGTCTGAGGGAGGAGGGGTCAAACACGTCATCACTCTCAAGTCCCTTCGCGCCCACAAGAGCTATAACTCCAGGCCTCCTTGAATTCCTTTGACTCTTATCTTACCGCCAGTTTGCTTCGACCGTTAGTAGCTCAGATTCTTGTAGAGAACTTAAACTTGCCATGAACCTTTATATTCATTTAAGCTGCCTGGGTTCCCCGATTTGGTGCTCGACGCCTTTGTTATCTCTTGATCTTGAGTAAACTGAATTACTGTTGCGACTGTGTCTGAATCAGTAGTTGAAACCAGAAGGACATAATGTTGAAATGTTGTAAACTGTGATCACGTGACCATGGACGCCACAACCGGCCATCAATGCAGGACAGTCGCCAAATGCTCAAAATGCAATCATGGCCGGGGGGCGAGGGGGTGTGGCAGCGGTCATAATGTCAAATCTGGGTCATAAGTAACTGTGGTATCTTTGAACATTTGCTAAGGGACTGGTCGTTAAGTCAAGGACTACCTGTATAGCCAAGCTAGACGAAGCAAACAGCAATTTGGAGATGAAAAGCGATGCGTCATTTACAACGACCACCTTACCTTATCATTCTGTGCCTCGTTATCAGGAATGGCCTCCGTCTGCTGCAGGAGCACCGGCAGATGCGGCCTCATCACCGGTTCTGGGCTGACGCTACCGATAGTGAAGTGCTGTAGAAAACTTTGAAGGAATAAGTGGAGTCAGACTTCACTCTCCTCTCGTTTTTTGGAGATGCGCTGGAGGGAGTCCTCTGAAGACCGGCTTTATGTCCAGGTAGACCAGCCAAGATGGAGCTGAACTATCTGAGGAGGCTTCATGTTCTAATGACTTTGTCCAACCACGTGTTCCTCAACCGTGGCAACTTGAAGGTGGGTGGACTTCCACTCCCAGGATTCTCCAGACGGCTGAATTCTGGGAGTTGAAGTCCACCCATTTTCAAGTTGTTAAGGTTGGTCCAACCCAAAGGTGGAGCACCTAGTCAACCCTGACTGATCGTAAGAAGCTGGGCTAGCATATCTCAATAGTTTTTTGTACTCGTGTTGGAAGCGCCGAGGCGCTTCCGCGGTGAAGGGGTTAACCGGTGACATCACCGTTGTCCTAGGGACCCCCAGTTGGGGGCTCCCTTCATGTCCCCCATGGGAGCTGGAGGGAAGGACAAGAGCTCAACCCTGCCCCAGGGCAGTTCTTGGATCCCGAACGTGTTCTTGCTAACTTCTGCCCAGCATCCCGACCACTTGAGCCACCACATTCCTACCTCAATAGTATTTGAACCGGAGGTGATCATCGCATAATGGATGTGGAAATCAGAAAGCAGATAATGGTTGGTACAAAACCAGAACATTCCCACCCGTTCAATGAAAGAGATCTTCACACAGCCCAGTCAGGTCTCTTCTTTGTAAACGCCGCTTCCAAATATTCCCCAAAACAGAACCAATGGATGTCCCAAAAGTGCTTCCCCCCCCCCAAAGGCAACCGGACTTCCTTGGGTTTTTTCCCCCTGTACTGGCTGTGGAATTCTGGGAGTTGAAGTCCACACCTCTCAAAGTTGCCAAGGTTGAGAAACACTGCCATAGACCATGGCAAGGATGCTGGGAAATTGTAGCTCACCACAGAGGGAGGGCCACAGATGATCTACCCCAGGGGTAGTCAACCCTGGCTCTTTTATGACTCGTGGACTTCAACTCCCAGAATTCCTGAGCCAGCTAAGCTGGCTCAGGAATTCTGGGAATTGAAGTCCACGAGTATTAAAAGAGCCAAGGTTGACTACCCCTGATCTACCCATCGTACAATTAAAAATGACCCCACGGGACCTTAGTGGGACAATTTCTGGATTTGGTTCAGCACAAAAGAATTGTGGGAAGCCCTCACCTGGCCAGATCTGGGAGGCTGGTGAGCAGTCGTAGTTGGCTCCATCGTTCTCCGGCGGGATAAGATAAGACTTCAAAGAGCTTCTGTATGTTGGAATGTCTAGAAAGAAGGAAACGAATAAATTGTTGAGCCCTCAGAAAGCGTGTCAACACAAAAACTGTAAAGACACAAGTAGGTCGCAATGCCTTGAACCAGGGGTGTCCAATCTTGGCCACTTTAAGACCTGTGGACTTCAACTCCTGAAATTAAAGTCCACAGGTTTTAAAGTTGGCTGGCTGGAGAATTCTGGGAATTGAAGTCCACGAGTCTTAAAAGTTGGCTAGCTGGGGAATTCTGGGAATTGAAGCCCACGAGTCTTAAAGCTGGCTGGCTAGGGAATTCTGGGAATTGAAGTCCACGAGTCTTAAAAGTTGGCTGGCTGGGGAATTCTGGGAATTGAAGTCCACGAGTCTTAAAAGTTGGCTGGCTGGGGAATTCTGGGAATTGAAGTCCACAAGTCTTAAAGCTGGTTGGCTGGGGAATTCTGGGAATTGAAGTCCATGAGTCTTAAAGCTGGCTGGCTGGGGAATTCTGGGAATTGAAGTCCACGGGTCTTAAAATGACCAAGGTTGGACACCCCTGGCTTAAACGCTAATGTTCAACATGGGGTAAGTCTACGAGAACATCAAATCTTTATCTCAAGTGTTTCCCCATTGACCCCCCTCCCCCCATTTTCTCTCCAATGCTGCTTATGCAATACTAGAAATGGAATTATAAACTTACAATCTCTCCTGTTCCGCAGACAGGCCATCGTCCTGGATCATTTTTAACATTACTCCCGAATTTCCCGGCCGTTGCCAGGCAGAAAAGACCTACAATGACAAAGGAAGTCTAACTCACACAATTTCATAAGGCATATTTACAACCTAAACGAAGCTTGAAGATGGAACTTGTTCAGGAGGGTGAAACCTCCCCCCCACCCCGTTGCTTGCTGATAAAATGCTGGGTACTAAAATGTAATTAAAAATCCTCTCTATCAGTATCCTTTAATAATTGTAAATTGTGCTTGCTGACATTGCCAAGGTTGGTCATTGCTCTGCTCATAAACGCTGCAAGAGATCAATTAACGCGTTTGAATTTTTTTAAAAAAGTGCCGTATTTAATAGATGAGCCATCATTTTTTCTCCTTGGGCCGTACGGTAACTCAGTTCTTTTCACTTCTTAAGAAGTGAGGTGGACAAACTCTGGATTAATTTGATTTTCCCACGTCTGTCTGACAGGCAGTCCTCGACTTACGACCAGAATGGCACCTGTCCATGGTCATAAAGTGGGTCACCCAGATGACCAGCCTGATTTTACTACCTTCTCTGCGGGTGGTCGTTCAGCGAATGCCTTGGTCGTAAAGTGACTGTCGCAGTTGTTACGCAACCCCGGCGGTCGTTAAGCAAAGCAACTGTTTGCTGGGGGCTGGTTTTGCCGAAAACCCGGACGTAAATGCCCATTTTCGGCAAAAATGACGTAAAAATGCAGCCAAGTGACCGTAGGACACAGCTGTCCTGTTACTGTAGGGAAGAAGAGCTGTCAAAAATTCAAAACCAGATTGAATTTAAGGGACATCTTGATTACCTAAGGCTTGAAAATTATAAATATTAAAGGTTAAATTGGAATATTGATGAGAAATTAAAAATCGGGTAAAAACTAGTGACAGGATAGGGAGTGCCTATGAAGATTGAATGCAACTAAGATACATACAAGCTAAGCCCAACCCAGATGTTACCTGGGAATAGAAAGCTTTATACAGGGTCGATTTTGGGAAGAGCGCAATCATCAGGACGTGGTTTGGGGTGTGCAGCTGGACTGGCAAATGAGGGAGCAGAGAAGGCTTGTATTCTATAAAAAGCACGGCAACCACACTGGTGGAATCCTAAAACACAACGAAGAAGGCAAGGGGGGAAAAAATTACAGATAAGACCTTTTGATATAACGAAGGACACTGAATTAAGTCTGCAATCTCTGTTCTCTTTCTGATGCTTTTTCTTCGGCATCCCAGGGCCGAACCTCCAAGATGCGTTTAAGTCGATGTTCCATTACCCAACTCAGTAACAACATCAGTTCTACAACGTCTAGTTCAGTGACGGTGAACCTTTTAGAGAGCCGAGTGCCCAAACTGCAACCCAAAACCCACTTATTTATCGCCGGGTGCCAGTTGGCTGTGGTGGTCATGGCAGATTGGGTGGGTGTGGCCAAGGTGGGCATGGTCACCTCAACGTTGCTCGTGGGGAGGGACGCCTGTGGGGGGGTGGGCAGGTTTGGGAGAAATCCAGGGGGTCTCTGGTAGGTGGGGCGATAGGCAGGAGGCTCGTCCTGCGGGGTGAGGCACGGCAGGGCGGGGGTGCCATTGCCATGGGGCAAGGCAAGGGGCGGCTGCTGCCTGACACCATCGGACCCCCGCACACAGAGGCCAGCGAGCGCATGGGGGCCGACGGTGTCCGTCAGCAGCCGCAGCCTGCCAGCCCCTCCACCGGTGCACTCTGGAGCTCCGTAGCCCCTCAGAAGCCGCCTCTGAGATGGATGGCCGGCCGACAGCTGAGTAGGTGATGCAGTAGGTCGTGCCCGAGAAAAGGACAGCATGCGAGGCCAGGAAGGACGGGATGGGGGGGAGGGAAAACAGCCGTGCCGGGATGCATCCGGCCACGTGGGACCTTGGCGAGTTAGCAGGCGGCTGGTTGAAGAGGGGCGGTTGCCATCTCCGGGGTATGGCGCGTGTGCCCACAGAGAGGGCTCTGAGTGCCACCTCTGGCACGCATGCCATAGGTTCGCCACCACTGGTCCAGCTCATTCCAGGTGATATGAAGAGGGGCCTGGGCCCACGCAAGGGTTCAGCTGAAATCTGAAATATTCAAGAGCCTGGCTCGTAAACTAGGCTGGCTGAAGCCGCACGTCCTTTCCTAGATGCCTCTCAATGTGGAAAGCAAACAAATAAATAAAGGAGGCCCCGAAGAGAAAAACACACCCTTGTGTACTCATTTCCATGGCAATCGAACCGCTTATCTTTTCCCCTTTCTTTCATTATAGATGTCCCCAAACCAATGGACCCGTTCTTGTTCTTTTCCTCCTTTGTGTTATTCTTAGCTCTTCGGCCTCACCCGTCGGGGAAAACAATACAAATTCCCTTTCAAGGATTTTTTTGCTTTGGACAAAGAAAAAAAATACCTGGCTACGTTTCAGGAGTGACACGAGGGTCCCATAAATAGCGGCAGACACACACAAAAAAAATAAAAAATAATAAAAAATGAAGGTCTTGAAACCGAACAATAGCGAAAAGGCGGTCAAAGACCCAGCCTGGTTTTGCAAGACTTACAAAGAAGGGAGTGGAGCAGGAGAAGAAATGAAAAGGGGGGGGAACCCCCCAAAGCTTTGGCTTTGGGGTTTTTTTTTTGCAGATTTAATTAGAGAACGTAAATACGATAAGACATATATCTTTAGAACAATTAGCCAGTGGAACCACCTGCCTCCAGAAGCGGTGAATGCTCCAACACTGGAAGTTTTTAAGAAGAGACTGGACAGCCATTTGTCTGAAATGGTATATAGGGTTTCCTGCCTGAGCAGGGGGTTGGACTAGATGACCTCCAAGGTCCCTTCCCACTTTTATTATTATTATCTTGAACAGTAGATTTCTTGAGGAATCGTGACAAAGGGAATTGGGGTCATTGATAATCTGGAAGCGGAAAAATACTAAAAGTTAAATTTAAACAATGGAAAATTAAAATTGGGGGGAAAGTCATCGGGCCATCGATCGTCTAAAAGACGGAGTGTTAACATAAATGAGATAGATGTAAATTAAAAACTATGGATAAAATGTAATCAAGTTGTTTCTCTGGGATGGTTGGAATAAAAATTGTGCCGATGCAAATACGAGACGGTGTGTACTAAGAGGTAAAGAGAGGAAATATTTACGGTATTGGTTTGAGATTTGTATTAACGATATCTGTATGCAGTTGGATTGTTGTAACTCAGTCGCCACGTTGCTTTTCAATTATGTAGTCGCGATATTAGAAAACCAGTAAAAATTAAAAAAAAAAAGACTTACAAAGAGGGGAGGGGAGCAGGAAAGGGGGGGGAAAACCCCAAAAAGCTTTGGGTTATTGTTTTTTTTTACAGATTTAATCAGAGCGAACAGGCCCTTCGCAGAGAATGAAGGCTGGCTGTGGAAATGAATCCCCCCAGTGACTCTTTGCAGCCCAGCTGAGGCCCTGCCACGATGGCAGCCGCGGCCCCTTCAGCTGATGCACTGGCCATGCAGGATAAGGCACACACACAACTCAGCAGCGTTGTTGGGTTGTGGGGCTAAGGAGGGGTGGGGAGCGGGGTAGGATTAATGGGTCCTAAGGCCCGGAGGGTAAGATTTGGGGCCTTTTGGAGGATAGAAGAGGAGAAATGGGGAAGGACGGCGAGGGTCAGCTAGGCTGGTGGGTTTCAAATGTGGCAACTTTTAAGAGGGGTGGACTTCAATTCCCAGAATCCCCCAGTCAGCTACACACAAGCACAGACACATTAGTGTGTGTGTGTCTCTCTCTCACAGTTTCTCTCTCACGCACACACCTCTCACACGTGTCTCTCTCACAAACACATGTGTCTCTCTCACACACACACGTCTTGTCTCTCACATACACACATCTCTCTCTCTCTCACAAACACACACGTCTCACACAAACATCTCGGGCAAACTCTGTCACACAATCTCACACACAGAAACGCAAACAACTCTCACACAAAGACAGTCTCACAGTCTCTCTCTCACACACACAAACACAAATGTCTCACACACAAATACACCTCTTTCTCTCTCTCTCTCTCACACACACACACACACAGTCTCTCTCTGACACAAACTCACACCTCTCTCTCACACACACACATTTCTCACAAACAAACACCCACCTCTCTCTTTCATTCTCACATCTCTCACACACAAACATCTCTCACTCTCTCACACAAACACACATCTCTCTCACATGAACATCTCTTTATTTGTGATACCCACTCACATCTCTTTCACACACAAACATCTGTCTCTCTCTCTCACACACACACACCCAAATGTCTCTCTCACACACATACACAAAAAAATACCTTTCTCACACACCCCAAACGTCTCTCTCTCTCTCACACACACACACAGACAAATCTCTCTCTTGCTTACACACACACACACAAATACCCCCTCCCTCCCTCCCTCTCTCTCTCTCTCTCTCTCTCTCTCACACACACACACACAATATACACAGAGATATGCTGACTGGGGGATTTTGGGAATTGAAGTCCACGCATCTTAAAGATGCCAACTTTTAAAACCTGTTCAGTTCTACCTGAACTGCCACATAAGTCTTAACAAATAGATAAATTGCTCCAGTTCCTGTCTGGTCCTCGTACTTTAACCATGGTTAAGTCCCTCTCCCGGAGCTACTTCCATCCTAGCTAAAGCTTTGATCCTAAGTTCTGGATGGAGCTCTAGAATAAGGAGGCTGCTTCGGTTCCCCCTCTAGAAAACCGGATGGGATCGAGAGGGAAGCTTTGTGGATCTGGTCCCTAATTTTCAGGGAGAAGTCCCAGATCTGAGGCTTCAGGTGACTATAAGGCCCTATTTCAAGTGTTTGGATGGGAAATTGATGAGCAGGCTAGCAGGCACTCACCCCGTCGTAGAACTGAATGGACGCCATGTGTCCCTTGGAGATCGTAATGCTCCCGTGGTGGGGATGGCAAAACAAAAGGCCCTCGGAAAAGAAATGAAGCTTTCCTGCAAAGAAAAATAAACCAAGTTATGAGACCTTGGGTGAATGCTCCAACACTGGAAGTTTTTAAGAAGAGACTGGACAGCCATTTGTCTGAAATGGTATAGGCTTTCCTGCCTGAGCAGGGGGTTGGACTCGACGACCTCCAAAGTCCCTTCCAACTTTATTATTATTATTATTATTACACCGATTACCAAGATGATATTGAGACCACAGATGTTACAACTATCGAAAGACTGCTTCAATCGCGGTCTGCAATTACAACCTGCAATTAAAACTCCGTGTAAAGTAAAAGTAGTCCTCGAATTACGATCACAATGGAGCCCAAACATTTCTGTTGCTAAGCGAGACGGTGGCTAAGTGAGTTTTGCCCCATTTTACGACCTTTCTTGACACTTCTTAGTGAAGGGAATTATTGAAGTCGTTAAGTGAGTAACACGGTCGTTAAGTGAATCAGGCTTCCCCCATTGACTTTGCTCGTCAGAAGGTCGCAAAAGAGGATTGTGTGACCCCCGGGACGCTGCAACCGTCATAAATAGGAGTCAGTTGCCAAGTTTCTGAATGTTGATCACGTGAACGTGGGGATGCTATAACAGTCGTAAGTGTGAAAAATGGTCACAAGTCACGTTTTTTAGCCTGTATTACTTCAAACGGTCACTAAACAAGCTGGTTGTAAGTCGAGAACTACCTGTATGTTCCAGGCATAATTGCGCAGGTGGTAGATTTTAATCTCCTTAAATTCAAACATTCACTGAGGCTGTGAAATAAATAAAACTTTAGAAAGTAGAATAACAGTTGGAAGGGACCTTGAAGGTCTTCTAGTCCAACCCCCTGCTCAAGCAGGAGACCCAATACCATTTCAGACAAGTGGCTGTCCACTCTCTTCTTGATTTATCTTCTTTATTTTATTTCTTATTCGCCCAGAGTTTCTCAATGGTGAGATGGGCAAGATACAAATTTAATAAGTAGATAAATAAAACTAAAATAACTGGCGTTACTAGGGAGGTGGTGACAAGCCTAGGCAGAATATTAATAAGGGAGATACGTCACACTGACGACAAGGGTGTGTGCTATCAAGGCCATGGTTTCCCAGCTGCAATATCTGCCTCAGAAAAGTGGATCTCCAAAGAAAAATGGTTGCCTTTGAATTGTGGTGCTGTGGAAATTTTTGATTGCTTACCTTCCTCCGGTCTACAGAGAGAATTATTAGCAGCAATATATGCTCCGTCGCCTCCAGTCAGGAGGGTTCCCAAGAAAGAGTCTTCTTTCTAAAAAAGCAGAACAGAAAAAGAGTTTCTGAAGCATGTTTCCATATGGAAGTTATTGGCTTTAATCATGAGAGGCCAATAACACCGATGCTATAGGTCAGGGGTCTTCAAACTTGGCCCTTTGATGATTTGTGGACTTCAACTCCCAGAATTCCTCAGCCAGGCACACTAGCTGAGGAATTCTGGGAGTTGAAGTCCGCTCCTCTTAAAGTCTATATCAGGGGTCTTCAAACTCGCCCCTTTTATGACTTGTGGACTTCAACTCCCAGAATTCCTCAGCCAGGCACATTGAGCGTGCAGAAATGGATAGATTGACTTTAAAGATAAAAGAGAAAGAAGACTCCGTGTACTTTAGAACATGAGATAATTTCTATCAATGGCTAGAAAGACGAATTGGAGAGAAAGGAATGTGACAAGTAATTCTGAATATATATTAGCAAGAAGAAGGCTATTGAGCGATTAATTAACATATTGTTTATGATCATTAACTATTATCTATTATTGTTTGTTAAATACACGAATCCAGACATTATGCTGTTTGCTAAATATGGAGAATGTTACTTGGGAAAACCCCAACCCCAACCCTAACCTTAATCCTAACCTAAATTCCAACCGCAAACTCGACCCCACCTTATTCCTAACCCTATAAAAACTAATAAAATCTATACAAAAAAAATGTCGCAGGAGTTTCTTTTGTTGACACTGGCAGTTGATGTCCTTCAGAAAAACTGCCATTTGGATGGCAAGGGATTTAAATGGGGAGCTTAAAACTGCCTGGTGTCTCATTGTAGGACGTTGGCCAAGGATGATGCTGTCCATGGTGCTGACCTCTCTCTGTACCAAGAGGCAGAAAGGCAGGTCGTCCTCAACTTTACGACTGTAACTGAGCCTGGAATTATAGTTGTAAATAGTGCCGGCGGTTAAGCGGATCACCGCGGCGATGGGGCTAATTTTACAACATGTCTTGCAGAGGTCATTAAGCGAATCCACGGTCGTGGAAGAGAACGTGGCGGTTGTCAAGGGAACCCATAGTCAGCAATGGGCGATTTTCTGTCGGAAATTGGAAGTAGATTGCAGTAAAGCCATTGTAAATTGTGCTGGCGTGATCAGAGGCTGCAAATGGCCGTAAACGCAGGTGGGGGGGGGAAGCACCCAAAATGCGATCATGTGGCAGTGGGGGGGGGGGGAGGCTGGTTGTTGAAACTTTGAACCTGGGTCGTAAGTATGGTTTTCTGGATCTGTCATAATTTCAAATGGCCACTAAGCAATCAGTTGTAAGTCAAAGACCATCTGGAACACAATTTTTCTCAACCCTGGCAACTTTTTAAGACGGTGGACTTCAACTCCCAGAATCCTCCAGCCAACCACGCTGGCTGGAGGATTCTGGGAGTTGAAGTCCACCACCTTAAAAGTTGCCCAGGTTGAGAAACACCAAACTAATAGATGAGCAAAACTAACCATCTGACAATATTTAATGCTGGCTAGTGGGTGTAGTTGGCAACCGTCAATCTTGCCGTGCCCAAACTAGAAGAAAAACGCCAAGTTTTGAGACGAACCTTCAGGATTCGCTGCGCCCGTTCGGAGAGCTTCACTTCATTCTCTTCAACCTGGAGGCAAAACCAACAACAGCGTCAATTCTGGTTTAGGGATAAAAATCCTGCATTCAACGTTGGGTGTTCTGTTCTCCATCCTGGAAGCCCCTCTCTGCAACCTGGCAACTTAACCCCCCTTGCAATGCCGTTTAGAAGAAAGAGATCAAGACTTTAAGGGCCTAAAACACTTAAGCAAAAATATAATATAATATAATAATATAATATAATAAATATAATATAATAAATATAATAAAAATCATATCATGTCATATCATATATCATATATATAATAACATATAACAACAATATAACATAACATAATAGCATATATCATATATATGATATATGATTGATACGATACAATACGATACAATACAATATAATAAATATATCATATCATATATCTCATAATATATATCATAACATAATAATATAACATAACAATATAACATAACATAATATAATAGCATATATCATATATATAATATATGATTGATACGATACGATACGATACAATATCATATCATATCATATCATATCTCATATATATAACATATAATATAACAATATAACATAACATAATGTAATAGCATATAATAGCATATATCATATATATGATATATGATTGATACGATATGATACAGTACAATATAATATAATAAATATAATATATGATATATCTCATATATATATCATATAACGTAACAATATAAAATATCAATATAACATAACATAATAGCATATAATAGCATATAATATCATATCTCATATATATGATTGATACGATACGATACAATAAATATAATAAATATATCATAATATCTCATATATATAACATATAACATAATAATATAACATAACATAATAGCATATATCATATGTGATATAATATGATATATGATTGATACGATACGATACGATACGATACGCTATGATACGATATGATATAATACAATACAATATAATATATCGTGCTTGAGCCTGGAGCCTCAGTGAGGGATGGGGTCTGCTTCTTGGTTATGATGAATATCTGAAGGTGGTTTTTGTCCTATTTTTTTCTGGTTGCTATAGGTTTGACGTTTTTTTGTATGTGTTTTAAAATTGTTTGTAAGACTGTTAGCCGCTCAGAGTCACGTAACTGAAATAGGCAACCATTTGAATCTACTAAATAAATTATAATCCCAAGTGTTAATGCCTGGACTGGCCTTCTTCCTGGACTGCCAAGAGCTTGATTTTTTTTTTTTAATAAAAAACACCCCTGGAATACTGATATTTTAATATAAACGTGAGACAAATGTCCTCGGCCATGAAAACTGTAAAAGGTTTTCTACACCTCATAAAATGATCTAGGGGTAAACCTACAAAGATGGCTAATCTTTTTTTTCCTGATATTATGGGAGAGATTTAATGTTTTTGCCAATCGGTATAAATAGAAAGTGAGCCAGTTTGAGGTAGCAGTTAAAGGCACCAGGCTAGAAACCGGGTGGATGGCGAGTTCTAGTCCTGCCTTAGGCGTGAAAGGCAGTTGGATAACTTTGGGCCAATCACCTGGAGGGGGTAAGTTGTAGTCCTGCCTTATGCATGAAAGGCAGGTGGATAACTTTGGGCCAATCACCTGGAGAAGGTGAGTTCTAGTCCTGCCTTAGGCATGAAAGGCAGGTGGATAATTTTGGGCCAATCACCTGGAGACAGTGAGATCTAGTCCTGCCTTAGGCATGAAAGCCAACTGGGTGACTTTGGGCCAATCACCTGGAGACGGTGAGTTCTAGTCCCGCTTTAGGCATGAAAGGCAGGTGGATAACTTTGGGCCAATCACCTGGAGGGGGTAAATTCTAATCCCGCCTTATGCATGAAAGGCAGGCAGATAACTTTGGACCAATCACCTGGAGACGGTGAGTTCTAATCCTGCCTTAGGCATGAAAGCCAACTGGGTGACTTTGGGCCGATCACTAGGAGACGGTGAGTTCTAGTCCCGCCTTAGGCATGAAAGGCAGGCGGATAACTTTGGGCCAATCCCCTGGAGACGGTGAGTTCTAGTCCCGCCTTAGGCATGAAAGCTTTAGGCTGGCTGAAATCCCACCAAGAAAACCGCAAGGACCGCTCGAGGCCGTCGCCAGGAATCAAGACTGACTCAGAGGCACCGAAATCAATCAATAAAAAAACCATAAAATATGGCGTGACGGTGTTTTTCTTTGCACAAAGCCCACTTCTAAACTAAAAAAGGCCCTTATCTGGGATAAGGGCGCCGTGTTTTGCAGAGCCCAGAGTCTCCACCTCAGCTGCCCCCAGCCCCATCAGCACTTCCTCACGGCTCTTGGCTCTTATCTGACCCGCCGTGCCTGGAAAAATATGAAAAGAACACACACTCCCAAGAGGGAGAATTCACCCTTTTGTGTTTTCCACGACCTGCAAACCGTCACAAAAGAACAATTTTTTGTCCTCCTGGCTTTTGGACCGGCTTAGAAAAAACAGCTCTGTAATCTGTTTTCTACATTCATTTTTGCAAAGGAAGGGAGGGGGCGGGAGTAGTAGTCACGGTCCACTTACCAGCCAAGACGCCGATCTTGGGATCACCGCGGTGAGGATGATGTAGCTGGATTCTGGGGTGAGGTTGCCATCTGCAGGAGAATGGAAAGGGAGGGGATGAGTGGCTGGACCCCCTCTGAAGACAACCCTGGAATAAAGCCACCGTGGGGGGGTCCTTGGTGGTCTCTGAGCTGGGTTGTGGTTCTTGCGAGACATTTGGCTAACCAACTAGGTAATGCCATCAGTGGTAGAAGGGGGGGAGGGAGCCCATCAAGGGGTTGGTCTGACGGTTGTCATCAGCGGGATGGGGGGCTTATTGGATTTGGTAGGGTGGTTTTATTTTTGCAAGCTGCCCAGAGTCACCGTGAGTGGCGGCCATATAAGCTTTCCAAATAGGTAATAAAATAAAATATATAAAAGAAAAGAAAAGCAGTGCTAGAAGGGAATGGGGGTTGGGGGGGGGAGGAGAAGGAGGAGGAGGAGGAGGAGGAGGAGGAGAAAGAGGGGGAAAAAAAGGACTGTGGGTCGTTGGTGCTCTCTGAGCTTGGTTGTGTTCTTGCAAGACGTTTCGTTAACCAACTAGGTAATGCCATCAGTGGTAGAAGGGTGTGGAGTTTGCAGAGAGAGAGAAAAAGAGAGGGAGGGAGGGAGGGAGAGAGAGAGAGAGAGAGAGAGAGAGGAGGAGG